GAATGACCTAGATCCGTACCATCTGTGTGGCTCCGCGGGAAGGCAGAGAGGTACATTCACAAAGCTCTGTCGCCCATGTGTACTCTGCAAAGTTGTAACAACCCTGTTCTGGTCCGAGCCCCGAGCTTGGAGAGGGAGATGATCCAGGAACCCGGCGGTGTGACTTCTCCGCTCTTACCAAGGTCAGAAAGGTTTGAGGGAGCCCCCGGCCTCACGGTTCCACAAGGTCCCCGCTCGATGCCATGCACTTTCTGCTTTCCACAGCCAAATACTCTGCTACTTCACGTCTAAATCGCTGCGCGGGAGCGAAGCACCCCTTACTCATTTCCATACCGTCATCACAGCCAGAGGGTCTAGAAACCAGGGCGTGGTAAGAAGGTCATTAATCAGGCAAGAGATCTGGAAATCATACTCACGGTCCTCAAAGAAGTCAAGCCTTATCCTCGGAAATGAGTCTATAGGCTGAGGAATGCCGTGGACGGGAGGGTCATTGCCCGCGGTGTGGGCTGTGGGAGCAACAGAGCTGGCCATTCCTGCCAGTCTGGCTTTTTTAAATGGCAGCTCCACAGGGAAGCCCTGGGGCAGGTCCCTCGGTCCTGGTAAGTGGGGGGAAGGGGTGGGCTGGAATGGGAGCAGGTGGGTGGTGGGAAGCGAAGCCGGCTGAAGTAGGCATCTTGCTGCTTCTCTGGAACTGGCCCTTAATCCCTTAGCCTGTGTTCGGGGCGTAGAAACGTGATTGAGAAAAATCTCTCTTGAAAGCCAAGCTTGAATTTTCCGGGCTACTTCTTCTCTGCAGTGTGGGCAGATCCCACACAGAAGGCAGAGCCTTTGCCATTGGCCGGATCTCCACCCCGGGGCAGAGGACCGAGACAGTGGACTTCTATAGAACGGGCCCCCAGTTTCTGGCAAGAGAAGGAGCTTTGTTCTTGGACTCCCCTGTCCCCACGGGGCAGGCAGCGTCTCTGGAGGAGCTGGCGCCCAGCGATCCACGTGGCGCTGCACAGAGCGGAGGGGCGTCTGCCGCGCGGCAGGGCAGCTCCTGTTGCCTGTCCTCGTCTGGACAGACCGCGTCTGCCGGGGCTGGTCTCGGGGCACAGCAGGGCTGCAGGGGCCCCGGTCCTGGGTGCTGGGGCCTGCTCTGTGCAGATCATTTCTCAGGGCTTGAGGCTGGGTGAGGATGTCCTAAATCTCAGAAAGCACGAGTTCTCCACTGTTTCCCAAGGGCCAGTGTCTGTTTATTTAAAGTCGAGAACTGCGGCAAAGGCTGAGCCCACCGTGACCACACGCAGCCCCTCAGAAGAGCCGCCGCTTGTGTCCTGGAGTGCTCTCTCTGCTTCTCACGTGGGGCTTCATTTTGGAATGGTGGCGCTCTCGGAAGAGACTACCTCTTGGGGCATATTTCTAAGACGTGGAATGGCCTTTAAAAAAATAAATCTATGGCTCCCTTAAAATCTCATGGAGACCCAATCTTTGTAAACCGATAAGTCTTGGATCCCTTCCCACCTTCCTCCACCCAACCACTCCTGCTCCGGGCCACGAGGCGAACGCCTTTTCCCTTTTCTCAGAGGTTACAGTTTGAACTCTAACTGCCAGGTAACAATACACAAAGCAAATATTAAAGTGAGTTAAAATGCTAATACTCCTCCCTTGTTTTGAACAGGAACAGAAATTCTTGGCAAGTCAGTTCGTATCATATTCTCCACGTTAGGAGTCTGCACATTCTTTGCAGTTGGCTACATGCTGCTGCCGCTGTTTGCTTACTTCATCCGAGACTGGCGGCTGCTGCTGCTGGCGCTGACGGTGCCGGGGTTGCTGTGCGTCCCGCTGTGGTGGTGAGTGTGACTTGCTGCTGGGCGGGCCTCCCCGCACACCTGGAGCACACCTGCGGCCTGGTGCTGCCTCGCCGGGGCCTGCTTGACCTCCACTGAACTCCCTGGGGCCGGCATCGAAGCCCAGACAGCTTTTGCCTCATTGTGGGGGGACTTGTGTGGGGGTCCGAGCCTTCATTGTCCCACAAAGTACTGTTCTCGAGAATTCCAGTCCCTCCCTAGACTCTCCCGCTCCTGTCTGTTGCTGGTGGTTGTTGTTCGTGGAGACAGTGTTGTTGGGTTTTGTTGGTTTTAGCTCTTTCCCCTCTCTTGAAAATCTCTTTCTCTATTCAACTGACGTCATTCTTCAAGCTTCCCTATCGTGTCATCATCAGCATCTAAACGGGGCCGATTTATCCGCCAACCTTGCAGGGGGAGAGAACTACTTTCCTTTCATGAGTTGTTAGAGAAGTGTGTTCTTCTCTCCTCCCACAACCCCCGACTCAATTCTGACACAACAGTTATGGGAATAACTAAGTTTGGAGATTCTGGCCTCCATCTTACCCGATAGGATTATCTGGGAGACTCCAGGTGAAAGAACAGAGTGAGAATAGTGGAATAAAGTCTCAGCATACCTTCCTTTTGGGGATTTCCCATTTCTTTGCATTTTCATATGTAAACAAGAGGAGAAGGGATTTCTTTCCATTGGCAGGTCTGGTTTTTCTCTCTCTGTCTCTCTCTTGTTAATTCTTTTTGGTTTGGTTTCATTATATCAAAATCCAGCCTTCCAGCACGGACTGGTTTTACCGAACTGTGTGATTTCTACCTGCTTACACATAATAAAAGTTTCTTTGATCATTTTCTGGAAGTCACAGTTTAGACCAGACCCCACAGTTGCCCTGCCCTTTGGACACGTCCTGCCTGGGAAGTTCTTTATCTCGCTATGGCTGTTAGGCAGCCATGGAGGTCAACAGGTAGCCCACACTGGCCTTGTCTGAGGCTGGACCGCTCTAAGCCACCCCTTCTTACGCTCCCAGAGCGCTGAGGTCGACCGGTGCAAATTCTTGGCATGAAGTGTGCAGTGAGAGTGGGGAGTGTGCACTTTTTTCTCTTATTTCCCGGGAAATTTGAGAGATAGTTTGTTAAAGGTTAGATTTGGGAGTTTCCTCTGGAACCCAGTCTGAGGATCAGGAAAACCAGTTTGAGGTTCTGTAAATAAGGACAGGCTCTGCCTCCCGGGAGAGCAGCCTGTATGTGTGAGAGCAGGGACGTTTTCTGGAATGAGAGGGATCATCATCATCATCATCCGTCCCTCTCCCCACAACCCCTTGCTAACCGAATTCATTAGAAAAGATGTTGGTGACCAGAGGTCCTCTCAAAACATAAGACGAGATTACATAAAGGTTATTTTCCGCCTCTTTAGATAATCCCTGGCCCTAGTTGTCATTTGGCCTAGGAGACCAATACTTTCAAATATGTTATAATCAACCTTCTCACTCTACGATTTTATCAGAGAGAAAGAGAGAGAATGACAGAAGGGTCCCGATGACCCTGCAGAGAACAGCAGGGATCGGCTCTTTGCCTCAGGACCGCAGACCGCGACGAGGAGTGAACAGCTCTGACCAGCCGGCCCCAGGGTTCCCACCACCCCGCAGGGAGCTGCCTCCCTCGTCCCAAGGAGAGTCCTTTCTTCCATTGCTCGTGGGCTGATCCCTGCGGGCTCCGGGCCGTGGGGACTGTGCCCGGGACCGGACTTGCCCCAGACAGAGGCAGCCCGGGGCCAGCACTGACAAGCCGAGTGCTTGTCCTGAGAGTTTAGCAGAGGCCTTATCACTTTCCTGCAAAAACAAAGTACTTTCTTCCGAACATCTCGCCCTTTGGGCTAGGACTGGTGAAGCAACGCTCATCGGTCTAGCGGGCCGGGGCTGGGGGTGCTCAGAGCTGCCACACGCCTGCTGCCGCTTGCCCAGGACGCGACACGGACTCTCCAGCAACACCCGCCCCTGCGGAATCCGAGTTAAACCCATAGAGAGACCATAGTCCACTGACTTGTGAAGTGATCAGCTAGATTTGAGGTTTTGTGCACAAAAAATCAAGGCAATTTAAAAGTAGAGATCCCAGTGGCCCTGAGCACAGTGGGCTGGAGACGGGAGGGAAGGTACACAGAGCCACTGCAGGCGGTCTGGGGACTCTTTATGACCCAAGTTTCCAAAAGCCCTGGCAGTGAGTGGCCACAGGTGTGAAGGGACTATGTGTGCGGGAGCTGGGGCGAGGGCCGGGGAAGGAGGCCGTGGACGCGACCTGGGAAAGCTTTGCGGTTTCTGGCCGACGGTGCTCTGAGCACCGTAGGAAGGTGGATGTTTCTAAGCGTAGCCTGGCTGGGGGGACGCTGCTCAGAAGTGGAGGCGCTCGTGAAGTCTATCGCAGCTGTGCGGTAAGATCTCCAGTTCTGCACCAGCGCCGTAGCCCCCGGCCACACGTGGCTATTTAAAGTAAAAGTAATTTAAAGTAAATAAAATAAGTTTTAATTTCTTCAGTCACACCAGCTCAGTAGCCACATGTGGTTATTGCCTACTGTCCCAGACAGCACAGATATAGACCATTTCAGAAGTTTCTACCGCACAGCATGGCTCTGATTGCTGCAGGTCAGCGACCTGACATTATCGCAGTTCCTACAGGGACCAACTGAAGGCATATTCTGAAGAATGCGGACTGGGCTCATTCTTCAACTCAGGTGCTAGTGAGCCGGGGAAGGGAGCGGGCGGTTGGCCGTTCGTTCTGCCCTGAGTTAATTCCTTGTGCAGCTTCGGCGCCTATTATGGGAGGACTCTGTATCTGCTACTTGCAATTCACTTTCTAGCATAACTAAGCACAGAGGCTCCTCCACTCATGATGGGCTTATGTCCCGGTAAACCCACTGTAAGTTGAAATTATCACGCTGATATTCCAAACCTGCCTTAAACACGCTCAGAACACCACTATTGGCCTATATATAACACAAAACCTATTTTATAATAAAGTGTCGAATATCTCACGTAATTTATTGAATACTATACTGAAAGCAAAAAACAGAATAGGTACTTGAAGTGCGGTTTCTGCTGAATGTGTATCCCTGTCACACCCTGGTAAAGCGGGAAAATCGTAGGCCGAACCATCGTAAGTCGGGGATTGTACAGACTGACAGAGAGGTAAGGAGAACAAGAGCTGGCAGGAGAACGGCTGAGAGATTTTGAGAAATAAAAATTAGGAAAGAACATAAGTCCTATTAGTTGAACTGTGTTTCAGCATCAGTTATCAATGTGAATAGACCACGAAATTTTAAAAACTAAGTTTTTAGACATAAACCACAACATTGGGGCTCATCTCCCAAAAACCGGTTAGGTGCCCACTGACCTAGGACTCTATTGAAGACCATGGAGAAAGCCCACGGGCGGGTGTCAGTGCCCTCCCCTCCCCTCGGACTGCAGGAAAAGCTCGAGAACGCAGGTGCGCTGCCCATCCTCTACCCACTAAACCGTGACCGTCACCAGCTGGCCGACAGGAATTCTCCTGGGGACGTACACACTGAAAAGGCCGTCCCTTCTCTCGGGGCCCTTACGGTCTAGTGGCTGCGCTGCTTTTATGGGACACCCTGGCTGTACCGAGTTCTGGGTGGCCTTCCCAGCTGCCCTGGCTTAGACAGAGCCACAGCTAATGTTACCTTCATGGTCTCGTCCTGGCCTCAAGCACAACAGATAATCGGTCTTATAATTTGATCAGAAGTTTGAAACCTGAAGGTGCTTTTAGGTCTTCCTGTGCTCCAAGAGAAATCCCATGGGGACTCCCCACCAAGTGTCTTTAAAAGACAAACTTGCATTAATTATCTGGGGCAACTTTTAGTTAGTAGTATACAACCCCACTGTTAGGAAAAATTATGAACTATTAAAAATGAATTCTAGGTTCATTCCTGAATCTCCCCGGTGGCTGATATCCCAGAGGAGATTTCAAGAGGCTGAAGACATCATCCAGAAAGCTGCAAAAATGAACAACATAGAGACACCGGCAGTGATATTTGATCCTGTGGAGGTAAGCATTTGCAGGTGTTCCTTCTTTAGATCAGCGACGCATTCTTGATTTTTGTGGAATTTAATTTAATTCAACGTTTGCTAAGTGCCCACTGTGTACCAGGCACTGTGCTAGGCCTTAGGAATACATTCATGATTAACTTCTAAGATAAAATCCACCCTAAAGGGCTGTTTAAAAATTAAGTGCAACAATATATGTAAACTGCTTAGAAGTATAATCGCGAGTATTCATTAAAAATTCATTCATTCAAACCCAGTCCGCCCTGGGTTCTCCACTGTCCCTGAGTCTTACCAGAGCCTGCTGAGCAAGCTGTGCGTGTCTTCAGCCCTGGAAACTTCAGGCCTAAGAGCACAGGCGTGAGGATTCGCCCCTGAAGGCAGGTGGCCACACAGAAAAGCTGATGCTCTGCGGAAGCAGCTGCACATCCTGACAGGTAGTGAGGACGTGCAGGGTGCCATGTCCAGCTCCCCTCTGCTGAAGGAGCATGGGATTAGATGAAGTAAACAATGACAGGGAGGAAATGCTTAGCACCCACGGAAGGGAGCCCCTGTGCGAGCAGCACGGAGAGAGCGAGCAGGGTGGCCCAAGGGCTGAAGAGCCAGGTCCCAGCCAGGGAGGACAGTAGGATTCACTTAGAGGAATAGAGAGGACGGGGCAGGGCATTCCTGGCTAGGAGAAGGGTGGAGGACTGCTTGGGACACCCGAAGAGGGCTGTGGTGGCTTCAGCAGCAGTGCGCATGCCCTGACCTAAAGCCTGCGCTGCTGGCTACCTCCGAAAGCGGAGCTCTGCGGTGGACGGGCGGTGGGCACGCCAGGGCTCCGCCCTAAGGGCTTCCTCCACCCCTGGCCTTCAGGACCTTCTCCAGAAGCAGATGCCTTGGCTGTGGCTGGAGGCTTAATTGCAGTGGCTGTGAGCTCAAGCTCTCAGAGAGCTGCCAGGACAAAACATCACTTAACCCTTTGCCCTTCAAATCAAGAAGTCTATTCCCAGCCTTTTTTTTTTTTTTCTTTTTGAGACAGAGTCTCGCTCTGTTTACCTGGGCTAGAATGCCATGGCATCAGCCTAGCTCACAGCAACCTCAAACTCCTGGGCTCAAGCGATCCCCCTGCCTCAGCCTCCCGAGTAGCTGGGAGTATAGGCGTGGACCACCATGCCCGCCTAATTTTTTCTATTTTTAGTAGAGACAGGGTCTTACTCTTGCTCAGGCTGGTCTTGAACCCCTGACCTCAAGCGATCCTCCCGCTTCGGCCTCCCAGAGTGCTGGGATTACAGGTGTGAGCCACTGTGCCCAGCCCCTTCCCAGTCTTAATCAATTTAACTGGATGAAAAAATAACATAGGAAGTATCTGACACTTCTGCCTTTCAGAGCTGTGCTGGGTGTTTGTTGGTATTTATCGGATATGTGGCCTGATTCCTACCTTTGTGAAACTGACAGTCTAGTTGTAGGGACCTGCCTACAGGGATGAGGGCAATCATAAAATAGATAAGAGACACATAGTTAGGGACACGCAAGAATAAAGTCCACACGCTTCTGACAGCGCAGCGCCTGTTCCTTCCCGCCGTGATGTACGTTTAGCCTGAGCTGGACATGCCCACCGAGGGACGGAGTTTGCTCTCGGAGGCCGGGTCCTCTCTGGGAGGCCTGCAGACCCCGTGCCAGCAAACGCAGCTGCGCAGCTAACGCAGAGCCGACCAGATGCCGGCGCTGGGTCCTGGGCATTTAACGCTCCTGCTGCCACGGCGAGCAGGTATGGCTCTTAGACCCATTTTTTCAGGAGAGAAAACTGAGGCTCAGAGAAGTAGCTTGCCCGGGATCACACAGCTATTAAACTGGGATCTGCAACCTAAATCTTCCTGGTGCCAAAGTGCACGCTCTTAACACCTGTGCTTTTTCACTTCGTGTTAGCGGCAGTGGAATTCACGTGAACAGGACAAAACGCAGAGCAGCAGCATCTCGGAAAGCAGTCTCGGGCTTCCCTGGCTTCGGAAGAAGCACTGCGCGTGACACGTGACCCAAACACATTTTGGTGGCTCCACCCGGGCCAGGGACAATCCCTGGATACAAGAACATTCTTGTCCTGAGGTTTCCAAACCCAGCTGCCCATCGCCGTCATCCAAGTGCTTTAAGAACAGAGATTCCCCACCTCTTGTTGCGTGTTTAGGTTGACAGGCTCTTGTTACAGATTCATCAAACTCCATTTTTAACATAATGATGCCTTATCTGTTACCCAAATAACTACTATCAATAAGCCATTACCCCTTCATTCACTCCTCTCTCCCCTTAAACCGACGCCTCCCTGTTCCTGCAACCGTCTTCATCACGTATTTAGACCTCTCTTTTCTGTCCAATCAGTGATTTTAAACTAAATGTAGGAGAGAAACGCTGCAGGAGCTCCAGGCAACTAGCAAAGCAATTATTGCCTTATCTTTACCTTAAAGCCTAAAAAAATTCCTTCCCCCAGGCCTAGGTGATTGCCCTGCTCTGCGGGTGTGGCAATTCTGATAGAAGAGGCTAAAGAGTGGTGAACAGTAGCCGCCCTGTATGTGTGCATGTATTTTTTACTTTGTGGTGGTGGTGGTGGTTCTCTTTCTTTTTCTCATTTTCAATTAGAATAAAAATCTCAATTTCAAAAAAAAAAAAAAGAATACAGACTCCCAGGCCTCTGGGCCCCCTGAAAGTCGTGGAGAGCAGGCCGGGGTGGAAGCTGGCAATCTGCGCTTTAACAAGGGCCCTGTGGGAGCACAGTGCACGCGGTGGCTTTGCTTTGTTGTGTAACAGGGTTATACTGCTGGGGCATGTTCCGGAGCTCTGCACTCCAAACGGTGCGGGAGAGGAAAGGCAACACGGCCACAGAGGCAGGCCTGGCACCTGACTCCTTCCTAACAGAAACTCCTCCCTCAGCCTCATACTGCGCACGCACCATAGGGCCGCCAAGTCCTTGTACTTTATCCCCAAGAATTCCCCACCTCGGGTCCTAATAACTTTTATCTGAGTTTCAATTCTAATCAGCTTGGTTATCTGGATTCATAACTCATGGCAAGTTAGCATCAGCAGATTAGAAGTAAAAGAGTAAAGCCTTTTGACAGTGGTAAGAAATTGCTTCTAAAACTGATGGCCAGCATCTTTTCCTCCATGATGCAGTGGTGATAATAATAATAGTTAAGGCCAGGTCTGGTGGCTCACGCCTGTAATCCCAGCACTTTGGGAGGCCCAGGTGGGTCGATCATTTGAGCTCAGGAGTTCGAGACTAGCCTGAGCAAGAGCAAGACCCCGTTTCTACTAAAAATACAAAGAAATTAGCTGGACAACTAAAAATACATAGAAAAAATTAGGCAGGCATGGTGGCGCGTGCCTATAGTCCCAGCTACTCGGGAGGCTGAGGCAGGAGGGTCGCTTGAGCCCAGGAGTTTGAGGTTGCTGTGAGCTGGGCTGATGCCACGGCACTCTAGCCCAGGCAACAGAGGGAGACTCTGTCTCAAAAAAAAAATAAAATGGGCTGCAAACATTTCACAGTGTTGGAGTAAGTGTCACACGTGTGGATGCCCTACAGCCCCCAATTTCCAGACTTCTAAGCATATTCGAGGGGAAACGCAAATTGCACGCGCGAGTTTTTCCCACGCATGGCGACCAAGATACTTCCTTACCACCTCTCGATCTCATGGCTGTTGGTATTATTTTAGTTACAGGAGCTAAACCCCCTGAAGCAGCACAGAGTTTTCATCCTGGACCTGTTCAGGACTGCGAACGTGGCCGCGATAACCGTCATGTCTCTGCTGCTGTGGTGAGTCCCAGGGATCCGGAGTGCAGACGCAGAGCACATCACTGCCCTGCTTTCTAAAGAGAGCTTGAATCAGAGAGGTGAAGTCACTTGCCCAGGCCACACAGCAGGACCCTAGCCGACGTTCTCGGATTCAGGGGAACGTCATGGCAAGGCCTGGGTTTTCCTGAGGCAAAATAAAAACCGTAGAATTCTAAGTTATTTAGCAATGCCTTGATTCGGTTCATGGGGCTGGATCCCGAAAAACGGTCGCAGGGACCAACATTTCAGTCTGCAGGACCGGGGCCCACAGGGAAAGGGCCCCCACACCAAGGTCGTGGGACTGAGATTACCGATGTCCCTGGGAAAGGGTTCCCGTCCCCGCCTCCTGACGTCATGGGATTAAGACTAAGGAGGTCCTGGTGCCTGAGGCAGAGACGCCACCGGCTCCTGCTTCCTGAAGCTGACGGGCCTTGAACAGTGCGGTCAGAAGAACCCGGATCCCCACGGCCTGGATCGGAGCCTTGACAAGCCTTTCACACTCGCTAATAGCAAACTAACAAGTGCTTGTAAGGCGCAGAAATAACGAATTGGCTTTGTAGACTAGAATGAATAATGTATCTGCCGAGAAATGAGGGCAGAAAAAAGGACGCGCCTGCCCCGTGGTGGCCGCACACAAGGACGGTCCTCAGAACTCGCACGTGCAGGCCGCAGCTCGCCTGCTTTAGGGCCGCTTTGTTCTGCAGCCAGAGCGGATCGATGACAGAGCTCGCGCCTCCGCATCAGCAAGCGTGTCCAGGCACTCGGCCTTCTTTGTCCGTCGCGTCGCGTGTCCTGCTGATGCAGACGCATCTCACGCGGCGGCAACGCGGGGCTAACAGCCAACGCGGCACCAGCTCCGCCGAAGCTGCTCTCACCGTTAAATGTGAAATTTTCTGTTTTGTTTTGGATCAGTCCCTGCGCTACCCAACTTGGGTCTAGTATGTATAAAAAGATCCAACAGGGTTCCTGAAAACATTTTTCCGACGTCCTCTGCTCTTCAGGCGTGTTAATGATGAGCACATTTCTGCTGGGGGCGTCTCCACAGCGCAGTTATTTTTCCACAGAGAAGCTTCTACACGGAATTAACTATAATGACGGGATACGCAGTCCGCACTCCGTGACACTTTGCAGCATTACGAGACTTTCACCCTTTTCCCTAGAGTGAGTTTTACTCAACCAAACTGACTGTAAATGGATCCCTTGTATCTGCTTCTTTGTTTAAAGAGTGAAATCTGGATTTTACGTTCACTGATGTGCCTAACACGTGTTCTTCAAATAATAGCTCTAAGAGAATGAAGATGTACAAACTATTCAGGAAATAATACAATTTGAATTCGACTAGTTGAGAATAGATGTTGGTTACTGGTGCGTCTACACTAGTGCTGTCCAGCAGAATTGTCTGCAATGACAGGAACGGTTTATATCCGTGTGGTCCGATGCGGTAGCGCTCACCACGTGTGCTGTGGAGTATCTGAAGTGTGGCTAGTGCGACTGAGGAACTGAATTTGTAATTTTATTCAGTTTGAATTTATTATTATTAAGTAATTTAAGTAGCCAATGAACCTAGTGACTTCTTAAAGGACAGCGACATCTAGACAATTTCTTGACCCTCATGAAATTTTAGAGTGATTCAGGCCATTCTTTTGCCATTTTTATCTTTTTTCTTTTATCTTTCAGGATGCTAACCTCAGTGGGTTACTTTGCTCTTTCTCTCGATGCCCCTAATTTGCACGGAGATGCCTACCTGAACTGTTTCCTCTCCGCCTTGATTGAAGTCCCAGCTTACGTCACGGCCTGGCTGCTGCTTCGAACCCTACCCCGGCGTTATATCATAGCCGGGGTGCTGTTCTGGGGAGGGGCTGTGCTTCTCTTAATTCAACTGGTACCTGCAGGTAAGAAGTTAACCAAGATTAACAATTGACCCGAAAAGACCCACACATTAACTCAGCCATCTGTGAGTCACTGCTCCCTGTTTAGGCAGCCTTTATATCATAAACCGTTCATAAGTCAATTAGACACGTGATTGCCAGTTTCCTGTGTTCAAAACAACTACCCTCAAACAGAAGAGTCAGCCTTGGAGAATCAGAAATCACCGACTGCACAGAAAGAGCAACTCCCAGTCATCTTCATCAGGAGACTCACCTGAACCCTCAAACCTCTTTCTCTGAGACACATTCATGATTCGCACTTTCTTGCTGCTTTCAAACCTTTTATCTGAGGTTTATGCGCAAGTATTAGACTTGGTGGTACAGTACACATTCAGTGACTTCATGGTCTGAATCTTTAAGTGGTTAAGTAGCACACAAAGTGATATATGCTTCCCTTTTCCTCTTGTGTCTTTCTCATAATATTAAAATGTTGATAGGTTATTGATACATAGTAATATATATAGAAATAGATATTAATAAGAAATAGGATAGAAAGGATTGGACCTTTGAAGATTAAACTTAACTATATTAACATGCTAATAACTTATCAAGAAACGGTTATAACAAAAGACAAGTGGACAAAGGTCACTGAATGCATTAATGATCTATCAGAATAACACTAGAGCAAAGTACAAAGCTACCCCTCACTCTCTATCTTTGTCCATATCCAATTACTAGGAATTTGAAGAGAGAGTGTTATTTTGCCAGGATCTTTATGTTAACAGAAACATTCCCATTGATGCAAAAGGACAATAAAAGCAACCGAGTTTATCCCTTCTAAAAGCACCCCTGTTTACACCGGTTCTTTTTTCCAGATTACTACTTCTTGTCCATTGGTCTGGCCATGTTGGGAAAATTTGGGGTCACTGCTGCTTTCTCCATGCTGTATGTCTTCACAGCAGAGCTCTACCCGACGCCGGTCAGGAACATGGCCGTGGGGGTCACGTCCATGGCCTCCAGGGTGGGCAGCATCATCGCTCCCTACTTTGTCTACCTCGGTGAGATGCTTCTGGTTAGCTTGTTCCTTTATTTTCTATTGTTTATAGAGCTCTTGCGCAGGCTGCTCTCAAACTCCTGGCCTCAAGCGATCCTCCCTCCTTGGCCTCCCAAAGTGCTAGGATTGCAGGCATGAGCCACTGTGCCTGGCCATCCTTTTACCTATTCTTTAATGGTTTATTCATCTTTTTCTTTTTGATTTGTGCAAGCTCTTTATAGTGGAAGGAATTAGCCCTTTATATAAATGTTGTAAATATTTTCTCTAGTTTATCATTTGCATTGTGACGTTATGATATTTTTGCAATGCAGACAATTTTAGTCTTGTATGCTCCAATGTATCAATCTGAGCTAACACTACACAGGGATTCAGTAGCATGCTCCATGGGATGGGGACCTCGTGCTCCAGGCTTAGTCCGCATTAAGGATCCTACTGGCGAGAAATGCAGACACATCTCCTTATTCTTCCTAGTCATCACTGATTACCTCCTGGTTCAAACACACACACACACACACACACACACACGCCCCTAAAGACATATATGAATTCTCAGGAAAGGTATACGTGAAGCCTTACAGACACATCTCCTTATTCTTCCTAGTCATCACTGATTACCTCTTGGTTCAAACACACACACACACACACACACACACACGCCCCTAAAGACATATATGAATTCTCAGGAAAGGTATACGTGAAGCCTTACAGAGAAAGAGAAACATTTTTCATGCACATACTGTGCACCATGCCCTGAACCACACCTGAGACAGCACATTATACAGACCAGCATTATCTCCCCTTTGTTCCTACCTACGCTTCCAAACCATTCTCAGATGGTCCAGTCATGGGCCACTGGCACAAAAAGGGACACAGTCTAAGATCTTTCTACTCAATAGTATCTATTCCTGTTAGTGACACAGAGGCCCCAGAGAAGCTTCAAGATCAATGTTTTTCTTATGTTTCAGGTGAAAGAAAATACATAGGTGTGTTGTTCCTCCATAATCTCTATATGTACGCAGAAGGGAAGCAAGATGAGGACCTATTACTCTCCTATCTAACATTTCATAAAGAAGAGATGGAATGGTTCTTCCCTTTACATGTTAAACCAAGACATGTAATTGCTACAAAAAAGAAATCAAATCCAGGCACACAGTGCTTTCACAGAATATGCCTGGTATTTATCACTGATTGATTTAAATTGGATTGAACATATTAGGTTTTTTGTTTGTTTGTTTAAGATTCTCAGCCGGTCGTGGTGGCTCACACCTACAATCCAAGCACTTTGGGAGGCCGAGGCAGGAGGATTGCTTGAGGCCAACAGTTTGAGAGCAGCCTGAACAATATAGTGAGACCCTGTCTCTAAAAAAAATAAAAAAATTAGCCAGGCATGGTGGTGCACCTGTAGTCCCAGCTATTTAGGAGAGGCTAAGGCAGGAGGATCGCTTGAGCCCAGGGGTTTGAGGGTTACAATGAGCTATGATGACGCCACTGCACTCTACCCAGGGTAACAGAGTTGAGACCGTGCCTAGAAAGAAAGAAGGAAAGAAAGAAAGAAAGAAATGAATGAATGAATGATTCTCATGGCTCTGTGGACCTAGCTTTCCACTGCAGACGACTGGTTTGGGCAAGAGCAGAGGTCACACCAGACTTACAAGGGCCAAAACCTGCCTCTGATATATCCTGGTCAACCTCCTCCCATTCCCCATCCCCCATGGCCTCCACCTTGAGGGAGAACCTTGGAGGCAGAGACCCCTGTCACAGGAACATCAGTCACACGTGACTGAGTGGCAGCTCAGAGGATACCAGCTGACAGGAAAGAATGAAAAACTTCACGATGACGCGAGGGGGACTATGGATATGCCCAGTCAACGTCATCTGCCGAAAAGAAACTGTGATGTGACATACTCTGGTTTCTCTTCAGAACAAATAAATCGTTCACCTTTTACTGAAGATTTCCATGGAGAGGAACAGTTACGAGTTGATAGCCAAGTTTTTTGAGGTCTTGCTCAGGCAAGGCTAAGTAAAAAAGACAAAAGAAAAAAAGAAACTGTGATATTTTGCTTGCATTTTCCTTCTGGAAATGTTCAGATTTAAAACTACTCTCACACACTGTTTGCCACCTTCGCAAAATGAGTCTCAAGAGCATCCGCATCTAACTGATGTTCTCACGTCCGGTCCCTCACAGGTGCTTACAACAGGCTGCTGCCCTACATCGTCATGGGCAGTCTCACCGTCCTGAACGGAATCATCACCCTGTTCTTCCCCGAAAGCTTGGGGATGGCTCTCCCAGAGACCCTGGAGCAGATGCAGAAAGTGAAGGGGTAAGTGGGACGTAACAAAACGATGCCCAAATTCCTCAGGAAGAAAAAACAAGCAAGAATAGCCGGGGAAGCTCTGAAAAAGAAGAGTAGTAAGTAGAGACTAGCTTTATCAGGTAATAAAGCATACTGTTAAGAAATAGTAATTAAATAGTGCGGTGACGGTGTAGGAGTAGAAACCAATGGCACAGAATAGAGTTCAGGATAAAACCCAAGAAAATATAAAAATTCAGTACATAATAAAAATTAGCAAAGTTAGTGGGGAAAATTACATTAGTCAGTAAGAGGGTATTATAATATTCAGCTAGACATTTTGAATAAGTAAAAAAGTTGAATTTTATAAAATGCATTAAGATAAATTTCAGAAAGATTAAAAATTTAAGCCTAAAATGTAAAATGATAAATATAACAGAAGAAAACATAAACATTTTTATAACCTTAGAGAAGATCCTTCTGAGCATAATATGAAAATCAAAGAACCATAAAGGAAAAGATTGATATATCTGATTATATGATTTTTAAGATTATTGGTAAAGCAAAAAGAAACCATAAAGTCAAAAGTCAACAAGTCAGGGGGAAATATCTGCAACACGAAACATAGACATAAGGCCAGCACGCCCAATATACAAAAGCTCTTAGCAATCAGTGGAAAAAAACAAAATAACTCAGTAGGAAAACTGAGAAAGACCATGAATACACAGTTTACAGAAGGGGAAATTTAAGTGTCCGACATACACATGAAAAAAATTACTTGTCCACATCAATAAAGAAATGCAAAACATTCTCATATGCAAGTATTGGGAAAAAGGAAAAAATAAATAAAAAAAAAACAAAAAGAAATGCAAAACTAAACAATTTAATATCCTTTTTTTGGCTCATGAGGTTGTACAAGCATTTTTCTTTCTGATACCTATCGGGGGTCCTACAGTTCTGTTCAGTTCTGACATTAACTGCCTGAAGTTAGCATCGGACCCCACAGGATTGAGGGCTCTTAACCCCACAGTACTGCCTGACTCGCTTCAGATGCAACTCTGAAAGCGTCGGGTCCCCAGGTCACCCAGGTCACCCACGTTTCCGTCTGACTGGCCGTGAAGTCTGGGGTTCCGACAGCTCCCCGCCTCAGGTTCAATAATTTGCCAGAATGACTCACAGAGGCAGGAGGACACTTCACTTGCTGTTAGCGATTTATCTTCAAGGATACAAGTGCACGGCCGGATGAAGAGGTACACAGGGCAAGGTCTGGAAAGGTCCTGAGTACAGGAGCTTCCGTCCCCGTGAAGTGGGGTGCACACCCTCCTGGCGCATGGATGAGTTCACCAACTCAGAAGCTCCCCGAACCCCCATCATTTAGCGGTTTTTGCGGAGGTTCCATCATGTCTGCATGAGGGATTATTAAGCCCATCTCCAGCCCCTCACCTCTCCCCAGAGCTCAGAAGGCGGGTGGCGCTGACAGTTCCAAGCTTCTAATCAAGGACCAGCCCCCAGTCGGACGCTGTCTAAAGGTCGTGCTGAGAGTTGCCTCGTTGGAACAAAAAAGGCTCTTACCACCTCTGTCACTCAGGAAATTACATGGGATTTAGGAGCTCTGCATTAGGAACCAGAGACAAAGACCAATATCTTTCTATGACACCACAGAATGGTAAACATTTCAAAGATCAGTGGGATCTTTGTGGGTAGGAGAGGTTTAGATGCTAGAGTAAAACTGCCTGGCTTCAAATCCCAAATCCACTGCAAAAATTTGGGCAAATCACTTAATTTTCACTAAACCTCAGTATTCTCATCTGTTATATGGGAATATTTCATACGGCTATTTTGAGGTTATAAAAGGTAACGTGTTTTCATTGCCCGGCCACGATACAGGTAAGTCTATATGTGAATAGATGCTTATGCCTGACAGAGCATGCACAGCAGAGGGGGCCAATTTTTAATACGCTGTTTTCTCCTAATGATATAACTACTTCGATACCAACTCTAACTGCCAAGAAGCAAACTGGAAGAGTTTGAATTGTGGGTTTTATACTTAATTAAGAAAATGGCCCTAGGTGTTTAAAATCATAAAGTACTAGATCTACGCTCATGTGGTTCTTATTAGAGTTCAAATAATTACATGTTCATTGATGGGAGAAGTGTTTCTCATTGTCAGTTTGGCATTTTCAGAAGGAGAGTCTTGAATATTTAATTTTCTTTAGCATCTATTTTATTTTTAGGTTCAGATCATGGAAAAAACCAAGACAGTCAATGGAGACAGAAGAAAATCCCAAGGTTCTAATAACTGCATTCTGATAAAATTTCTACCCTTTTGGTGAACTGGAAAACAGATAAATAAGACTCTGTGAAAAACCGAAGCCTTTCCTGCCGAAATGGACCGAATATTAGCAATTAACACTAAAATGGACTTTGTTATCCAGAAATGCTTGTCGTGTCGTAAACTTTGGACTGTTCTTCCAGATAATGTCCTTGTTTTTAAAAACAAACTATTTCTAGAGAGCCTTCTTACTAATTAATTCAAGGAAATGGATTGGTAAGATATTTTTGAAAATATGTTAGTAAAAGACTAATAAAGCACATATAAAGATTAACATTCATTTCGTAACATACAAATTACTACCCAAATAAAAAGAATGTCATTGTGTGAAGTCAACTATTAGACAACAACGGTGTGTGTGTACGTACACATGAAAATGCACAGGTGGATTAGCACATTCAAATTTATAGTAGTTGTGTTTTGTTTTTTTTTGAGACAGGGTCTCTCTGTTCCCCGGGCTAGAGTGCCATGGTGTCATCGTAGCTCACAGCAACCTCAAACTCCTGGGCTCAAGCGACCCTCCTGCCTCAGCCTCCCGAGTAGCTGGGACTACAGGCATGAAGCACTGGGCCCAGCTAATTTTTCTGTTTTTTTATAACGATGGGGATGGGGGTGGGGAGGTCTCTCTCTTGCTCAGGCTGGTCTCAAACTCGTGAGCTCAAGCGACCCTCCTGCCTCGGCCTCCCAGAGCACTAGCATTACAGGCGTGAGCCACCGCGCCCGGCCTATAGCAGTTTTTGAGATGAACTCATATACTGCTACAGCCAAAGATTACATGCGTGCAGTATTCCTATCCAGAAGACCTTATACGCTCCTTTGAGAAGAATTCACGGCTGCTAGAGGAAAAAAACAGTTTTCCCCATCTACTTTCACACTCCACACAGAATACTTTTGTGACGGGTGTCGGGGGTGGGGGCCCCACACGCCAAGCAGTTCTCCAGCGGACAGCCACTGGGTATCCCTCAGTTCAATTCTGACACTACCCACCTGGAGGTAGCATCAGACCCCATGGGTTGAGGGCTCGGTCCCACCAGACCGCCCGTTTCAGATGCCAGTCACGAATCGAGGCCACACATGCTTCTGAGCCGCCAGCTACGAACCAGGGTTCCACCGTCTCCTCGCATTCAATTGATTTGTAGGGTGGCTCACAGAACTCGGAAAGGTTTATGTTTGCCGGCTAATTATAAAGGGTACAGATGAACAGCCAGGTAAAGAGGAACATGGGTCGACGTCTCGAAGGGTCCCAAGTACAAGAGCTTCCGTCCCGGCCAAGCTCAGGGGCACCACCCTCCCAGCTCGTGGAGGGACTCACTCGCTCACTCGGCGCATCGAATCTTGTCGTTCAAGAGTTCACAGACTTGATCTCCAGCCCCCCTCCCAGAGGTCGGGGTGGGCTGACAGTTTCAACCCTCTAATCCTCTAATTGCCTGATCTCTCAGCCCCATCCTAAGGGTATTTAGGGAACCCACACTAAGTAATCTCTGTCATAAACTCAGAAGTTATCAGAGGGCCTCATTATGAATAACGGAAGATAATCCTGTTGCTCAGGAAATTCCAGGGATTTAGGGAGCTCTATGACAGGGACTGGGACAAAGACCAAATATACTTATTTCTTTTCTCCTGTTCTTCGTATTTTTTTTTTTTTTGAGACAGGGTCTCACTCTGTTGACCAGGCTGGAGTGCAGTGGTGCCATCATAGCTCACTGCAGCCTTGCATTCTTAGGCTCAAGGAATCCTCCCGGCTCAGCCTCCCGAGTAGCTAGAACTACAGGCACGGCACCACCACACCTGGCTAATTTTGGTATTTTTTGTAGAGACGGGGTCTCACTATGTTGCCCAAGCTGGTCTCAAATTTCCAGGCTCAAGCAATCCTTCTGCCTCTGCCTCCCAAAATACTGGGATTAAGGCATGAGCCACAGTGCCCAGCCTCCAAATATACATATTTCATATTATATCACAATGGCAGATACTAATAGTATTAATATTTTGTAGGTGAAATGCAGCAAGAGATCAAGTAGCCTGGCGCACACGGCCTATCTGCCTTCAGGAAGAGAGTCCAGGCGGTTCCCTGTGACAGTTCCCACGGCGACATCTCGAGCCTGTCGAATGGTTCCCATTTGCTGTGCTTCCGTTAGGCACCTGACTAAGCCTCCTGTTTCCCAAAACTGGCTTAAGATATATTTTGCTGGTAAACAGAAGATCAGGAAAACTGCACAAACCGGTTAAATCAGTAGAGGTAGTTTATATGCCCCACAGCCAAGAGTGGTGAGCACCGGGAAAGAAGGCTGTTGAAGCCAACCATCTGGAGAGCCTTTCAACGCTATTCTTTTCACGAGTGCAAGCCTCCCTGAGCACGGCGTTCAGCCGTGTCCTCTCGAACCAGGTCAGCAGTCTTGGAACCTCAGTGCCGTGAATAAGCGGCGTGAAAGATAAAAGCCACTAAGGGGATAACATATTACCACAAGCTCAGAAAATAAACGTCAGCTGTGTGCCTCGCCACGTGCTTGGCGTGCTGAGATGATGACGCAGCAAAAAGTCGCTCCTGGAGGCGTGGGGGCAGCACGATGGAAAGTGGCTTCCTCTTCAGTGAAAGTGATGAGCCGCTGGCCGCTGCGTGCAGCCAGTGCTCGGCACACTCTAGAAACAGGTGTTGAGTCCGGAGCCCAGAGGGAAGCGCACGAGTTGTCGCAAAATGCTGTTTATTTTGAGCACCTGAGTGCAGCTGGGTGGAGGCCAAAGAGCGTGCACCAGTCCACCAGGAGGGAGGGGAAAGCCGTGGGTTTTATAGAGGTTTTCCCCAGGGGGAGTGAGCAACACCCGCAGAGATGGGGGGGTAGCGTTGTCCTTATGGGGGGGATGGGAACGCTGTTAGCATCGCAGCAGCTGTCTGTAGGCGAAGTTAGATTTACAACCTCCGGACTCCCCAGACTCCGGCGGCTTTTGTTTCACAGGTTTTACGGTCACTACGCAAGCATTACGTGTCGGGTTCTCACCTGGAACAAACCTAACGACAGGGAGCCGCTAGTTTTGGATGTACTGCTTGGTGACCTCCTGACAATAATTATCCTCAAATGCAAATTTTCGTTATGTTATATCTCAAAGGACCCTTTGATGAAACATCTCGATAAACTGTCATTATTTCAAGATCCTTATCTTGAACTTCTCTGATTAACTCAGAGTTTTTTCTCTGTGTTATCATATTTCTAATGTACATTTTACTGATTCTACTTTTTGATTGCTATTGTAAATCCAGAGTATCTTAAAACAGTCTATGCTTTGTCATTGGGAATGCAGGTGTACAGCCTCAGCCACCCAGCGTTTTTGTCCCCCCCATCGAGGCCTGGCTAGATCACCTCTCCGCCTACCTGCTGGGCACCAGGTTGCGTGTAGTCCCAGCTGCTGGAGAGGCTGAGGCAGGAGGATCGCTTGAGCCCAGGAGTTGGAGGTTACAGTGAGCTGTGATGCCGCCACTGCACTTCAGCCTGGACGACCAAGCAGCCAGACTCTGTCTCAAAAAAAAAAAAATGAGCTATGGTCCTCCTAAGGTTATAACGGACATGCCCTCATTTTATAGGGGCCATATATCTTGGGGTGTTTTTTAGGCCTGAAGGAAATAAGAAATATTTTACCCCCAAAAACATTTCTTTGCCATATTTTGAGGTGGCTGCAGGCAAATGGGAGTAACGCAGCAAGGCTGTCTAGGCAGGGAGGCTGGGGGCAGATTTGCATCAGGAGAGACTCTCCGATACGGGCAGTCAGGCCCGGCTTATTTGATCTGGCAGAGGTTACCGAGAGTCTGAAACCCTTACGGTCAGAATGTGATCCTGAGACTTACCTGCGTAACAAGGCCACCTTGGCAGCCAGCCTTCCTTTTCCCCTCCCCTCCCGTCCACCAAAAAACCAAAAAACACCCAAAACCTGCTAGTCATTTTCTCAGCCGCTTCATTTCTTCAGAGGACCCCTGCACCTCACTGGGGAGAGGACAGCAGTGCTTGTGTGACTCGGTTTTGGGTCCGGTTTTTCCTTTTGGCATAATGAAGTTGGGGGGGGGGTCCTGAGATTTTTATTTTTCCTTTACAAGTTAAAATTAATACTTCAATAAGATTTAAGAGCTTAAAAATAATTCTAAAGGATGTCAACCCAAAAGGAAGAAGCTGAGTTAAAATTAATATAAGTGAGAGTTTCTTTGGGCCAAGCTCGAGTATGGCAGCCCTGAATATACCTCTGATTAGCAGCAGTTTCAGGTAGATGGTCAAGGGAAGAAGAGGCAGTTCCTGAGTCATTTACCAAGAATTCATGTGACAAGGCCGGGCGCGGTGGCTCACGCCTGTAATCCTAACACTCTGGGAGGCCGAGGTGGGCGGATCGTTTGAGCTCAAAAGTTCGAGACCAGCCT